CTATGAATATTGGAAATAATGCTTGTACTTATTTTGTATCTATTAATATCAAAATATCCTCTATTTTTAAAATTATTATTATTTTGATTCTTAAGACATTGTAATTTATAGCTCCTATCAATTTTTTTAACTCTCATACCTCACAATTTGAAGAACTGTTATTTTCAACCATCATGACACTTTTACTTTGGATCTACTTTGATATTGTCTCATATTTCTTCTAGGATATATAAAAGCAATGCTTACCTATGTTTAATATACCTTGACTAAACTTTGATACCATATAGGTTAAAAAATAGATTAATATACTTAAGCAAGCAAAGCTCAATTACAACTATACATCTACCATATCTTGTATAATATATTTATATATGTCATTGGCTTAATCTTAAACTGATAATTTATACTCACTTATTTAGTGGGTGAAATGATGAGCAAGAAGTACTATGAATGAAGTGATTTACTATAGGTCAAATTATTACAGAATAAATATCATAGACAAGGTGATGTAGAGCATTTAAAGAAATGTCACTCTTATGAAGTATTTGAAAGTTTTATTAATGCAAACTGGAGGCATGCAATTACAACAACATGCAAGAAAGTGATTCTATTATTGTATTGATAATGTATTAGAGAAGTGTCTGGAGATACATTTTAAACATGGATATTTATCTAATTTTTTATATTAATGTAAATTTGTAGCAATATTACTACAAGCTAGTAGTTGAAGGATTGTGAATGTAATTGAAGATAAAATGAAGTAGCTTATGCATATAAGTTATCAAAAGAGATTTTTCAAAATAATATAATGGTGTTTAAAAAATGAGTACACAAGAAAGATACAAGATGACAAAATACCATCTATAAAGAAATTTAAGTCCTTAATCTAAGTGAGATGCTTTAATTAAGAGTTTTAACTTGTATGATATATTTTGGTATCTTAAAATAGATATGTGACTATTTAGATAAAGAATTTGATTTCTAACTATTATTTACATGTTGCTTGTTTATTGTACAAAGCGCAAGGGAAAAATTTAAAAAACATGAATGTTATAAAAATAAGTTCAAACTATTAGCAAAGATTAAAGCTTTGCAAATTATACTTTGTTAATCTATATTTATATATAGTAATGGGTCTAGAGGTTGTTCTATAGAATGTATAATCTTACATTGTGCAAGTAATCATATTATTTAACATATATATTTTTTTACCATAATAATTCTTCAAAAATATATTTATCTTACATATCTTAGTTTAAAAAAAAATAGATATATATTAAAAAAAAACATACCACTTTTAGAATATTTAAAGAAATAGAAAAAATTATAAAAATTATAAAAAATTATAAGCAAAATTTTAATAAAATACTTACATACATCAGCGTTTTTATTTATTTTTACATCAATTAGAGATTATTTTATGTTAGTCATTAAAATAATAAAAAATAAAATAAAAAATAAAAATTTTACTTTACTAGAATTTATGAAGATATGCTTTAATACAATATAATTTTATTTTACATAATAATAGCAAAATTTTAAGATTGTAAGAACTATTTCATGTTATAATAAGTGTGCAACTATTGTTTTAAAAGTATGATGGATAAGATTACAAACTATAGTTTTTTTTCTTATCTTTGATTAAAATATATGAATACAAATTGATCAAAAAAAAATTATACAAATATATAATTTAATTTTAAATGCATTTATTTTAATTCTGTCTACTTTATATTGAAAATTCTAAAATATTTTAAAATTGAAAAAAACAATAAAAAAAATTATAAAAAAATATAAAAATTAAATACAAATATTTTTATTTAAAATTGGTGTATCACATATTACAATTAAATTAAGAGAATATCATCATATAATAATCTATTAATAAATAATTTATCCAAAAGAATTATTTCTTTTATTTTTGTAGACACAAGATCTGATTTTTAAAGATTTAGATGTAGATTTTTGAATAATTTAAGAATTTATAGAAAATACAATAATTTATTTTGTAGAAGTAAATATAATTATATGATTATTTATTCAATTATATGATGCATAATTTTTTTTATATGTATATAAATTAAATATTTATAACTTAATATCAAAAATAAATAAATTATCACTAACTATTTTTTATAATTATTTAGACATGGATTATGATTTACGATCTAAAATTTAAAATAAAATCTAGCCAATAATTATTTCCTTGCTTTGTAGACAAAAAAGAGCTAATCCAAGGCAAAATCTTTGAAAAAAAAATTTAATGTCGAAAATAATTCAAGTTGAAAAATAATTATAAACTTGTTAATTATTTGATTGTAAACTTATTAATTATTTAATTAGAAAGTTTGTAAAAATTTTAGATTTTACTAGATTGCAAACTTAAATGAGTGTGACTTGGTCGTATCAATGTTAAATACATAATTCCAAATAAATTTCTAAAAAACCAACAAATATATGTATATGCATAAATAAATAAATAAATAAATAAATAAATAAATAAATAAATAAGAAGTTGATACAAAAAAATTAAAATTAAAATTAAAATATTTATTTTTAATTACAAATAAACTTAAAAGTTTTAAATTAAGACCAATATAAAAGAAAGGTATTGATAAGATTGAGATTAGCCTAAATTTTAAATTTTTATATATTGGCTATAAAGAAGACCTAATAGAAGCTTTCTAAAAGCTATAGGGTTTATGGCCTCAGAATCAAGTTGTGATATACTTTTAATATAACTTTCCAAAACTATAAATTTTATAAGATAAGTTTTAAAGCCACATGGCACATCTAAAAGAATTTAAATATTTAATTTAAATATAAGAAAATTCTTCAATATTTTTAGAAGAAAATATTCTATACTTAACATAATTCTATTTATTTCTACTTACTTCTATTTACTTAAGTAATATAGGCATCTATTACAACTACTAAGTAGAAAACTTAATGTTTGATTGAATGTTGCAAAAAATCAAAATAGTTGCTTAAAAGATTCAAAAAAAATTGTGTTAATTGTTTTTATCATTGTTGTGTTAAATTATATGATTTAACAAACATGATGTTTTCTACACGATTTTATATTAGACACAATAAAATTACAATCATGGTATTATTAGTTAAATAAGTATTTAAAAATTATACATGTAATTTCTATATTAATACAATATGTTAACAATATCAATATGTTGTTATTTGCAATTAATTTTGTCATATGGTATAGATGTGGTATAGAGAGAAGATACCATTAATGATACATAAACTAATGGCTTTAATTAAAAACAAAATATTTAAAATAAAAATTTATTTCATATTTCAAATTAGTTTTTAAAATAAAAATAATTTTTGATGTTTTATTAATCTATCAAATTTTTTATTTTTTATTTTTAAAACACAAAGCATCTTTTTTTTTAATTGTGATATCAACATCATCATTAGATAATAAAATAAAATAAAATAGTAATCCAAAGATCCTTACAATTGCCAATTTTGATACTTTTTAAGCTTTTATTTTTTTATGAAGAAATTCTTATGATTTTTTTTCTAGGTTTTTCATTAAGATTAGTTCTTACACAGCATTACAAATATTTTAATACATATTAATTTGATTTTTCACTATCATTTGTAACATTGATGCTTACAAGGGCACCTTCTTTCAAGTATGAGTGTTCTTTGACGACTCCTAGCTTGAGATATTCTTGAAGCAAAACAAAAGCTATATATATATGGTATTAATATAAATTACAAAACACCAAATTTTCTTTAATATTACATTTACAAAAAATAATAATTTCATATATAAATTACAATACCTACCCCAAATGCTGTAATTACATTAATCATGCTTCTGTATGAATACAAAGATTTTGAAATGTTATTTTCAAAGTAACATATTTTAACAACAATTTACAGGGCTAACCAAAAAATTTGCACAACATACATTTCAATTGCAATGGCTAGATTTTGAAAGCCACATTTTTATTCCAAGTTTTAAGACGCTACTGTTTTTATTGTTAAGAGTAAATATTTGATTTTGTTTCACACTTTCTCACAAATCCAAAATAATGTAGAATAACTTAATCAAATCATGTAGCAAATTTTTCTATCTTTGTCATAGACTATGACAAAAACATTTGAAAGCCCCATACATCCCTATTCAATTTCATTATGAACAGTATCGTCCATACTTGTACACAACAAACACTATTTTAGCCCAATTATGATTATCATTCTAAACTAATTACATGTAGGAAATACCCACCAAGTTAGCATTCTGCTCACTCCATCTTTAACTCCAATTCCCATTCTTCACAAACTAGGTCATGTTTGCTCAATGTACGCTCATTGTGAGCGCCAAAAAGCCCAAGCGAATCAGGGTCACTGACTGGGGTGGTTGCATCGTCTTGGTAGAACAGCAATTTGCATGATCCAGAACCAGTTAAAGCCTGATCTGTTACAACTACTCAACAGTCCAGGAGGAAAATTTGGAGTGTAGAACTAATTCTGCTGCTCTGGTGCTGCAGCACACTCATGTTTGTCGAAGCTTTATCCTCCTGTTGGTTTCAGCATGGAGTGTTGAGCACTGGCACTGCAATTCCCGTAAAATGAAACTTCCACCGTCAGTTTGCGAAGTTTGCGAAAGACATGGCTGAGACATCACAGAAGTTTTCTTTGTATTTTTTTTACGGGGTTTGTTAGAGGTTTCGGTGCCAGACACACACCAGTGGGTTCCAGGGGTCGTCCCCCTGCCGGCATGGTTTCCAATTCTATGGAAGTTTCCAGAACCAAGGTTCATTTATCCATCAAAGTGAAGAGGTGTTGTTCCGAGCTAACACGTTGGCGAACCAGACGTCGAAACTAGTGCAACTTCAGTCTGTGCATGTCAACTGAAGTTGCACTAGTGCGACAGCACAAGAAATTGCAAATGCACACATTTGCGTTAATAATTCACAGTAGTGCTGTGGCGGTCAAGGATTGATCTATTCCCTGAGTGGGTGCCCTTGATTGAAAACATTCAGCTTCGTTATGCTTCGCTATCCATCAACACATGGACAAAAGTTTACATTGATATCACCATGAAAGTAGATCATTCCTTATCCCTAATCAAACCGCTGAGAGAAGACTAAGCTCAAGTAATTACATCGATAATTAATGCAATCATATATATATATATATGATCATAGGGATGATCCTGATTGTGGACTGTGTAAATAACCGTGATGCAAAGAGTGAGGACCTAAGTTATGCCACACGATTTTCCCGCCGTATGCCATGGTCAAAGCTGTGCACAGAAACACCAGCGGAACACCGGCCGTGCAACCATTCGGAAGCAGGTTCACGAGGGTCTGCATATCATCAAAGACTCTAATCAAAAATAGAACCAACTAGTTTGTGCCCAGGTTGGGAAGAAAGAGAAAAAAGCCTTGACACACAGAAATCAGAATTTGCAAAATCAGATCTAGAGTGCACCAAAAGTCATGTGACACGTGACACTATCCCCCGAGAGCATTGAATAACATACCAAAAGTGCTGCACCAAGATGCATGATGGGCACAAATAGTTTCTGAGAAATATTGTCGTATGTGTAGGCATTGAAGGCAATGACCATCGAGAAAGTATGAAGGAGAAAAAATGCTAAAGAAGACAAGGCTGCACATTCGCAGAATAACCCACGGTGAACGGCGTATAAAAAATTGAGTAAGAATGCCCTGAGAGTGTTACAAAAAAGAGAAACTTACATTTTTCTTTTCAAGTGCCAACCCTGACGAACATTAAAAAAAGAAAATTGCGAAGGAAACTCTGTCATATATACGGAGACTCATACCTGATACAAGAAAAAGAGGCATCTGCTTGCAGCTAGAAGTGTAGTACGTAGCTGGGCCAAAAGCAGGAGCAATGATGCTCAGGCCAAAGAAGACGGCATGAGCAAGACCATGTCCAACCCCACTAGCTGTCATACAAGCAAAAAAAAAAAAAGTTAAACCGCTGATCCCTCAGATGTCCGTAAAGCAGAGATGCGATTACCAGTATGTAATCCAGTATACACAAATTGAGACAAGAATCCAAAGACACTGTTAGGTTGAGACGACGAGCCTACCCAAATTCAATACAAGTACAGAGTGTGTGATAGCGTACCAAGGGCAATTTCGAGTCTGTCCAAATAGTTACATTGAGGCTTTGAAAGCTTTGTTGCTAATACGTTCAAATATTTTTCTATTTTCCTGCAAGAACAAGTAGCGGAAAACAATTAGCATGTTAACAGCTTGTACGTGAGCAATCAACACGAGGAATCTTGGCACTTGAATGTTGCGTGCTTAGATTCCGACCAACACGAGATTCAAAGAAATGAAAAGTAAACTCACGATATGAACTGGACTAGCAACTTCTTATCTCTAAAGTATTTTTAGCTTATGAGACGTGACTGTCACCATATACAACTTACAAGTACAAGTGCCAGTATAGAAGCCTAAAAGCTTCTTGGAGAGCAACGGAAGTAGTCAAGATCAGCAGGAACACCCATGAAGGACCGGGAAGAAATGCCCTCCAAACGATTGCGGCGATATTGAGACTCGCCAGCCACACCAAAGCACTATAATAATTTATTTCCACTTCGTCAGTCAACTTTACAAGCTATGTCACGAACACATCTTCATAATATCCCGGAAGGGGAAACCCTAAACCTAAGGAAGGTAACGCCACCGACTGCGACAGCTCGTCCGACGACTGATATGTACTTTGGTTACATCCACAACCTCAACCAGACAACAAACTATCACAAACACTGCCGAGTACAATGACCCATCACTTCTGCGTGAAATCGCTTGAAACTCACCCGGAGCGACACTGTCAGCCATCCTGCGCCTACAGGTCTAGTAAAAAACAGAAAGTAAAACTCTTCTCCATCTGATTATCCAAATCCTCGACTTAATGAACAAATCAGCCCCAAATTCCCAATACCCCAAGTCACAGGAGCTAAGATCGCATCAGAAGACGATTACAAATCCACCTAGTTTACAATACTCCCAAGACCTGGCTTGCTCTACATCCATAAAAAAAAACATCTCAAATTACAGCACCAGCGCAAGCCACTCTAACCGAAGCCCTTGGAACTATCACACAAACAAACAAAGCACGGCAAGTAACAAAACAAAAAGGGAGAATTCAAAGTACCTGGCGAGCACCGTGAGGATGAGGAATGGCTTCGGAGCGACTGAGGAACCGAATATGGTGAGAGCCGGGCCCAAGGCGATTAGAAAGTAGCCAAACCCGGCAACCAAACCCATTTCTCTTCGAACCTCGCTCGCTCGCTCGCCCTCGTCGTCCTCCACAACGCTAATAACAAACAATACCCTCACCGCAAAAAACACCCACCAAACTCTTCTTCCCCCTTCGAGAAACAAACCTCAACAAACACTCCCGAATGCCGTTGTAATGCAAATCGGCCAACTCAGCAACCCTACGACGCCATCACTGCAGTGTGAGATGAGATTGTGCACAAGCTCCATGTCTGCAGCAACAGCAGCAGCACAGAGTGTGAGTGTGTCGCATCGTTTGCAGCAATTTCATGTCGTTTCGCCATTTCTTTTGCCTCTGAAGCAAGTTTTTTGGGTTGTTGGTTTCTCTTTTTATAAGAAATATAAGCCTCACATGTTAAGAAGAATGCAAAAGCATTATTTTGGGTGGGAGAAAAACAAAAAAACAGAAACAAAATGAAAACAAAACAAAAACCCAGAACGTTGTGATTCCATGTGTTCATTGCAAAAACATATTATGTTGTAACATTTACAATAACATGATATTAAAGCATGTAAGTGACCTTGTTTTCTTTTACAGTTTAAACTTTGGCTAAAACACATGTTGTGATGAAGATGATGATATAAAAAAATAAAAACAAAAATCTTTATTACTTTTTACCAAATAAAATCACGTGTTTTTTCTCTTGTATGTGCAAACAATTCTTATCAAATTTTGAAATTCACAATGCATTGATCCGTTGCTTGCAACACAGCATAAACACGGCAAACAGAGTCCCAATTTTATGGCCAATGTATTGACCACCATAAGATTATACTTCTACCTTTTTCTAAGTTTCGTTGAGAGGTGCTTTGCATTTTAATTAGTTTAAACAGGTTTAGTAATATTTTCTCACTATGACTTGTGACCATTAAGTTGATACTTAACCTGTTTTGGTCCTTCAATTATGAATGCAGAAATACAACTCGATACAAGAGTGGGTTTTAAAATGTAATTGAAAATTACACTTTCCAATTTGATATATTCAACTATTACAAAATAAGATTTCATATCCTCATTTCCAACTTCAAACAATATATATTCAATAATTATTATTTCAAAGTATCAGTTTTGCCATAGATGCAAAATAGTACAACTATACTGTTACATTTTTATATATTTTTTATTGGAGGAAACATGCAACTAGACAGCAAACAATGTGTAAAACATTACATTCTTTCATCTTCAACTACTGTTTATATTAATAATACACAGTTTTTATATTCAAATCAAAAAGCCAAATTCAAATTCAAATTCACACACATACAATAAAAATGTAATTCAAGTATTAAGTGTGTGTGTTTATTTTCACACACATACAATAAAAATGTAATTCAAGTATTAAGCACGTGTGTTTATTTTCACACACACACACATATATATATATATATATATATGTATTTATAGATTTATGGGCTTACAATTATTGAAATCCACTCATCTATAAGTAGTTTACATATTGAGATATACAATCAAACAAGACAAATGGTCCATTTTTATGTAACTCACATTGGATTTCAAGAAAAAAGAATAAAGAAAAACACTAACTAATAAACAAACAACAACAACAACAACAACAAGTACAAAGAAACAAGCATTTGGACCTGAATGACACATACTTTCTAATTAAAATCCTATGTGTATGTTTGTATACATACATCTATAATAACTGCTATAATTCCATGTGCTCTGTTTGTAGTACAATATTTACAAACATTATGTAAATACTGAATATCATAAATCACATACACACATTTATACATATATTTATATATATATATATATACATATACTCCACTCTTGCATGCATTAAGATATCCTAAACCAGAAAAAAGCAATACCCTGTGGAAGCTGAAGTGCATACAAGCTTTTTGGATATCCAGGCATTACATAATCTTGACATCCACTATTCTCCACAAAGGTGTATCTCAATCCTAGAAGCACCATTTCCATTATAAAACATGGCTTAAGACTCACAGTGACTTCCTACCCTTGTGCCTTCAGCTCAGCTTCCACTACAAAATAGATGGATTTACTTTGGGTTTGGAGCTCCCACAGACAGAACTGCGTATTTTTAACAAAAATCCAAAGTGTTCATGGCAGTGACAGAAAGTTCCAACATTCAATGAGTTGTACACCAGCTTTTATATATATATATATATATATATAAGTTCATAGTAACAAATACACGAAATTCATTAGTTTCTCATAATTCGTATTTCATTCTGTAATCAAGGTCAGCAGGTCTTCATTGTTCTGTTTCGAACGATCTCGGTGTGTGTCGTTCCCAGTCTCAGAATGTGAGGGATTTGTTAGGGTTTCAGACAAAGTGTCAATGTGTTCAACTACGATCCAGTTGCTTATTTAAGTTTATTGTGTAGTTCACGGTTGTTACAGTGACGGAGAGCTGTTTCAACCTTTGATGAAATATAGTAATCCTAGAGTGGTGGAGAGGTGTTTTGAGTGGCCCGCTGGGTGTCACTTTTCGAGTCTCTCCTTGCCATTAACGACTCGACTAACGTGCATTGCTGGGCCACTGGAACAAGCCGGCTCTCGTCACAGACATTGGAAGCTGCACAAAACGAATCCAGTCCACTCACGTGTTTAACGCATGGAAAACTGGGATACTAAACAGGAACTACACCGTGCTGGGGACCGCATTTCTGCTGCTGAACACTTGTGTGTATTTTAGTGGAATGCGGCCCTTTGAACATGCCTGCCGAGGCATACAAAATAGCCTCTATTACTAAAGTGATAATAATCTTGGTGAGAAGTGATAACAATGAGAATTCTAGACAAGCCTTTCTCAGTGACTCATTCGACATGCTCTTACTATCCAGAGCTGAAAGAAACTAACTGGCACTGAGCGTCACCACAATCGTGAATGTGAAATTTTGGGGCATAAATCTTGCTCTTGAACTGAAATAGTGCCATCAAAAGCACAGTAGCTGAGAATTGCATACTGAGTATCTTGAAGTGGGTACAGGACCAGCTTGTGGACTGGCAAGCTAAACATGTTTCTGTGGGACAATCGATCATAATCTACATCCAAAATCTGACTGACAAAATGAATAGTGACTCACAGCGGATTTCAACTGCTCATGTCATCGTTACGAAGAAACTCTGTTATTTTCACCAGATCGGGTGAGCACACTCACTGTCGATGCAAACTGGTAAATACTCCGGTGTTTTACTGCAAAGGAGACAGCAGCAAGACCCGTTGTTTGTAAGTTTCCTGGTGATATTGTGCGACCAGGCCTTCAAAACGCCCAACAAACGATCACCACGTTCCAGCATCGACACTTGAAAGCGCACCCACAACTTTCTTACGTGTTTTTTTCCCAATGCTTTGATCGAATCACGGTGCGGCTTCCTTCTCAGCTCAATTTCGACGAACCTACAAAATTCCTCAGTACGGGATCAAGAGCGAGATCCGTGGACAGGCGAGGGGGGGAGAGGCGCGCCAAGCCCGCAAGGACTCGACGGTGTTGACCCATCAACTAGCACTGACGGTTATAGGATAACATTTTTCAAAAAATTCAACAAAACTCAAAATTGTGGATAACAAAAATCGCTTTACGAGATTCCGGTGATAAACGTCACACCCGGCGCAGTTGCGGCCCACAAATCTATCAGCACTCCGACCCTTGTTTTCTTTTCTTTCCGTTTCTTTTTTACATTACTCCAGTTCCCTCATGCCTGGATAAGAACCTGACCCTGCGAAGGCGATGGTGTCGCGGTTTCCCTACCTCTGCTCTCTCGCCCATCACAAACCCTAAACCCTAATTCCTGAAACTCAAAATCCTAAATTCATGGCACATATTCCAACATTTACCATATTTTTGTATCAGGAGATGTATTTGCCCCTAGCTTTTTGAAATCACCCCAACATAAGATAAAGTGCCCCCCAGAATCTGAACAACTGGTCAATGCTTTGTTTGGAATATTTTCGTATAATTTCCGACGAATTTGTGGATTTGTAGATGTAAACCTGCGTTGTAGTGTGCAAAATTCAGAGTTTTCAGTGTGTCATTTAAAGTCAAATAGTGTTAATTGAAACTCTGAAGAGTGGGTTTCGTGAAGTATGGGCACCCCACAAAGCCTCCGTATTATACATATATATATATATATATTTAAATATATATATGAGGAATTTTTGTTTGCAAAATCTTATGCTGTACCATTTTTTGTATATTTTGTGTGAATTGGCTGTGCACTAATTGCAATAATGATTGATTATCCAGAAATGATGAGTGAAATCATTATCTTTTTAATCAACAATAAAGGAAATGATTTTGATAATGCAATTCATGGTCTTAATAAATAGACTCGATCTGTAATACATCTTCTTTGTAAATATACAATATCCACAAAAACACCTCTTGTCATCATATTTCCAATACGCATCTTTAAATAGTTTCAAAAACATTGTGTTGCAACTTATCATGACATTCCAAGACAGTAATAAGTTATTTCTCCATTTGCAAGGAGTGATTAGACTTTCATTGAGAAAAACATTTATCCTGATATTTCAAACTTGAAATTTAAACAATACCATAGTTTGATGTCAAAGAAATTAATCGTTTGAAAGCAATGTTCATTACATTCGAATGGTGTATTCTAGTTTGAAAAATATATAGAAGTAAAAAGAATAAAAAATAAATCAGTGCGTAAAAGTAGACTTGAGTATGACTAGTTTGTTCGCACATGTGTGGTATTTATATACAGAAACAGCAAAAATCTTAAATCTAGATTGTGTTATGTAAACTTTAAAATACATTTTTCTGATATTGCACTAATTTTTATAAGTGTAAAATATTTCAACAATGTATATTTAGATTTCTTACTTGTGAATTAAAAAATATATATATTGTAAATTATAAACGTCTTTTAGTAGGAATAAATATACATTATGATTATTTTAAAATCTCAAGCAAACAAACTTCGGTAATGTACAGATAAAATCTATTCACTATTCTTGAAGAAAGTGAAAATTACTTTTGATACGCATTATTTGTACTACTTCTATTATTAGACATCACATTATACCATTTGTATTTAAAAAGCATAATCAAGGCAAGGTTTAGTCTGGTTTGTTAGTATGCAGTTTAATAGAATTCCAGCATGAGGTTAAAAACACATTCCCAATACAGAAAAAACATTCCTTTTGATATAGAAAAAGTTGGTTTCAATTTAATGCAACATTTTAAAAAACCAATAAAAAAAAATCCGCCTCCAAGTACAGCCAAATGAAGAATACGACGACCACAAAACTTTCTCTCATAAAAAGTTTAAGATTTTCATACATTATTTATTACCCAACAATACGATTCACACATTTCATATTTAAAGTAAAAAGTAAAAGCAAAAACTCTGGCATGGTAGTTACTGTTAACACTCCCTTACACAAAAACCGGCAGCGCGTGATTGATGCAACTTTTACCATGTATTGCCTCAAGTGGAAAAGTGGAATTCCACGTAGAACCGGGCCGCTCGACGTGGTAGCCAGGTATAGGCGCGAGATCTCGTAATTCCGGTGTGGAATCGTCCTCCGTCCCAGTGGTGGTTGATGCATGGAAGGCTGTGAACTTCGCGCAGTTGAAGCCTGTTCTTTCCCCGTTCTGTGGTGAAACCACACCGTTAGGCCCTCCGAGTCAGTCGCTGCAGGGATTCGGACGGAGCTGGGAAGCGGCGGAGGAGCAGGAGAAGGAGGAGGAGGAGGAAGAAAAGAAGGAGGAGGAGAGAGAGAGAGAGAGAGAGAGACCAAAAGGGAGTCAGTCAGTTTAGCACCAATCTTCCGAAGTGCGGGCGTCGGGGTGTTTATTGAGGGGTTGGTGGAATAGGGAGGCCAAAACGGGTTTAAGAGTCGGAGCATGTGGGCAAAACTGAGGATGCCGAGCTTAGCGAACTATCAGGGAGAGGCAGGAATAGGACGCGGGATGTCAATTTGAGAACCTGACCCGCAGAGCGCCGGTAGTGGTGGTCTCTCGCAGGCAAGGTGCGCCTGGGCTCCACCTCCTTCCCTCTAACCCTGCTTGCTTGCCTTGCTTTGCCTGCCTTGCAGCAACAACTGCGTTGGCTAGCTAGCTAGCTCCCTTCCCTTCCGCAGATCTGGAGCTCTCGCCAGGGCACTCACTGACTGCATCATCATCTTCCCCCTCCCTTACACTGCACTCTTTCTTTCTTTCTCTTGTCCCTGCTGTGTGAAATCACCTGGTCTCGTTGCGGTATCAACGTTTAGGAGTGTACCTCCACTTTTTCTTTCTTGAGGTTGTAGTCGTCTGAGTGTCCTTACAGCGGTTGGTGGTGGTTAGGGGCGGACGGCGTTCGTTGCGATAGGCGCATGTCTAGAGATTGATATATGTTTTTTTCGTGCAGTGCAGTGCGGTGCAGCCAGTTTGTGAAGAAGTTCTGTTTTACTTTGGATGCGTTGTGCAGTGTTTGAGTTAGAGATGGACGAGGCAGCTGGTACGCTGGAGAATCTGTGTCGCTTGGCCTAGGATAGATCTGCAAAAACACAGGAGAGGAGATCCTCGGTGGAAGTGAAGATTAAGGTCACGCAGTTTTTGAAGGATATGTGAGCTCTACAGATTGTGAAGTTGAAGTTCGGAAGTAACTGGACGATAGGTCTGTGTAGATTCTCTGTCATGTTGCGCCATTTGTGGAATGCGTTATAGCAGGGGAGGCTGAGTCCTTGAAGTCGGACTGTGGCTGTGAAGCGTTAAGCGAGCTGGGACGCAGTCATGAGCACCTCCCGGTTCATCAAGTGCGTAACTGTCGGAGATGGAGCTGTCGGGAAGACCTGCATGCTCATCTCATATACCAGCAATACATTCCCTACTGTAAGCGACAACCGCTTGTGGAATAGTGCACATTCCGGATAGGTCTTTTAGCTTCACAAATCTTGTCCAGTTTCTGAATCCTTCACGTAAATCTTGCGGATTCTCCTCTCTGCGCATACCTTGAAGGCGACCAGGTTATATCGTCATTGTGCTGTAACTCTCTGTCAATTGCAGGGGAGTGCCTGGCGTACTGCAAGGAGATGTGTTGTGCGATGTCTCCCATTCACTAAAGTCTCTGGTCCCTTCAACGATTTTTAAAGCACAGATAATTGGTCGTTTTGCAGGATTACGTACCAACCGTGTTTGACAATTTCAGCGCAAATGTCGTGGTCGATGGAAACACAGTCAATCTCGGATTATGGGATACAGCAGGTAAGAGACAGGATTCGACTAGAATCTCTCCTTTGTACCTATTGTGGTTACTGTCGGGATCACGGGTGCTGATTCACATTAATTTAGGACGGGCGCTGCACTACGCATTGTTGTATGTAATGTTTTTGGTCTTGCTGATTCACACACAACCTTCCATTGGAAGTCGACCCCTTAGTTATTTCTTATTCCATTTGTCACTGAAAACATTTACTACCCTATGCAGGTCAAGAAGATTACAACAGACTTCGACCTCTGAGTTACAGAGGCGCTGATGTTTTTCTTCTAGCATTTTCTCTTATCAGCAAGGCTAGTTATGAAAATATCTCAAAGAAGGTAGTTATTTCCTTGACGATCTTGTCTTCGTGTTAGGGTTGACGACTTGCTTGAAAATGTTTCAAAGTAGAGAACCGCGTAGAGGGTGCTATTTACGTCATATTTTCTGATATTGCATTGCATTGCAGTGGATCCCTGAGCTCAGACACTATGCGCCATCGGTACCCATCATTCTCGTTGGGACGAAGCTAGGTATAAAACTCCGGCTTCACTTGTGGTTTGGGAATGTGCTACTGACAAGTTTATTCAATCGGATGTAATCCACAATGCTGAAAATCGAACAAAACATTCTAGCACGGATGCGCTGTGCTCTTGCTTGTCATTTTTATTCTCAAGTATTTTTCACTCTCTTACAGCTGGCGCGTCAATTGGCAGATCTTCGAGATGATAAACAGTTCTTTGCTGACCATCCTGGAGCGGCTCCAATTACAACCTCTCAAGTAAGTTGAAGTATGCATGCATTGCTCCCAAAATTTTACGTAATGCAAGTAGTCTTTCAAAGAAGCCCTTGAGTTATCGGAAAGTTAAGATGTTGTCTTTGGTAGCCAGTCATGAGTACTCCAATTGATGGCCCTCGTACACAATTTTCAGCTATGGCCTAGCCTGTGCTGACTGGAGGTCTCGTCTGGATCACGTGTTGTCACTTTGGCTAAGACCTTATTCATATTTGGGGATACTGACGTCTAAGAGTTCTGTTGTTCAGGGCGAGGAGCTCAGGAAGTCAATTGGAGCGGCTTCGTATATTGAGTGTAGCTCGAAGACTCAACAGGTTAGACTATTCCCAAATTATTATGAAGATACATGAAAATTCTCTTCTGCTATTGAATATGTACTTTCAAGCTTTGTTGGGTTAGGCAAATAGCTCCATGCACCCATGGCTAAAGCAGTAAATTTAGGTGCCCAAGGGTTGGAATGGGAATTTTTCCCAGGTCCTTGATCAAGCTCAGTTTATATGGCTTGATGTTACGATTGGGGAAGTTGCGAATAGGTATGTCGAGGTCACAACGTGTCATAGCTCTAGCAATTGTAGATGATTCCGGTAATTGGCGTTTAAACAACACCGCCATCTTCTGATGCGTTGCTGTCTTTCATTGCAGAATGTGAAAGCAGTTTTTGATGCAGCAATCAAGGTGGTTCTTCAGCCACCCAAGCAGAAGAAGAAGAAAAAAAAACAAAAGAACTGTGTCATACTCTGAACATGGCATGACATTTCTCGACCGGACTCAGTTTTTGGAGCTGATTATAAGTATTGACTTCTAGGTTCGTTCATCCTTTGATTACGTCCCAGTTGACATCCAGCCGCGTAGAGTCAACGAGCGATTTGCCACAGCCTTTGTGTGTCCACTTCTATGGAAATTGGGATCACTTAAAGTGTAGTGTATTCTTTTCTCCTACTGTTGATTTGGTGAAGGATATAGGGAGTGATTTTGTAGATGGTGATTTTGTAGGAGTTCTGTACCCCTGACCTACGGGGCTACCTTATCTCCTAAAAATGCTTTGGGTCATTGGGTATTTGACAAACTTCTGGTCCTCCTAAAGGGGGCTGCAGTGGGAGTCATTGTAGACTTATCAGGCATTCACAATGGAAACATTCCCATTTAAATGCTTATGCACTTTGTGTTGTGGGTTCTACTTTTGCTGATTTTAAGTAAGAGGTAGGTAATTTTAAGTTTTGTTCTCTCAGAAGTGCAAGTTTTGTGCAGAATTTATGCATTATATTGAGGATATTTTTATTTATTCTCATTTGTGGATGTTTGTTTTCGTTGTTGCGCATTAATTTAAGTGTTTGTGCCACTGTCATCTGATTGGCAAACCACCCCAGCTGTATTACTAATGACTGTTTTCTAGAGATTTTAGATGCATACTACAAATGGTAGAGGAACTTATAACCTGTTAGCTCTGAATGTTACAGAACATATCAAATTATTCCACAAACTGAAATTTCAACATTCTGTTCCCAGAATGTGAGTGTAAGAACATGTGTATTCTGTTTAAAGAAACCGATTTTTTATTTGCCACTACATTCTGCTGTTGCCAATTACTAACTAAGTTATTTCTACAAGAGATGATTCAGAGTTGGGGCTATATGTGAATCCTATTTTCCCCCTTGAATTAGTGAAATGTTGTAATTCAATATGAGAAAGACTTGTAACATTGAAGTTTTTTGAAAAAATCAAACTCAACCGAATACACACTCAACGGCATCTCTTCATTCAAAATGTAACCACTCTGAATAGGAATTACAGAATTATAATGTAATCAGACGGATTTAGGTTTATAAAAGCTTGTTCGAAAAGCTGTCGAGGATACATTAAAAATTTCAATATTAACTTATTTTCTAATGCAGAGTGGTCCAAAGGTGGTCGACCACAATCAGACACAAATTTGAAGTTGACAAAGTTTCTGGCAGTCAGATTATTTCCCATTATTGCGTAAATATTTAAATAGGAGATTTCAACGGCGGCTAATTTGTACTAGCCATTTTGAAGTGTATGCAAACAAAGAGACTATTCATTAACAAATTTTTAGAATCAGCTCGTATCGTTCATTAATGATGAATCCCAAGCCATCCAGCTGCTGCAAAATAAGTGAGACCGACAGAAATTTCATTACATGTGAAACATTTACACAACTGAACATCATCATCAACATTCTTGACGGATCTCAGAGCCAGAGACAACAGGATTCTAGAAAAAGGTTAGATAAAGATACCATCGCAGTAAGAAATGATATTCTGTAGCTACCCTGAACGCTTGAAAGCTGCAGAAAACGATGTGCTGAGTAGGCCCCTCCATGCATCATAATCTAGGGTTGGAACTTATACATTCAAAGCTGCAAATTGAGGTGAGGTGATAAAGCCTGGGAAACCCAATTATTGTATGTGCAAGAGCTCAAAGAGCATGATTACAAGTTACTGGCCCAGGTTCCTAACAGTCCGACTGGAGAAGTCATAAAAAACACACTCCAGCGTGTCCTATATTTTAGTACACAACCTAAATGGGGAACTCCAAATTAGATCGCAATCACATTTCAGTGCTCAACTGACGCAGCATCAGGTTTCAGGTTTGAAATTCTTCGGTGTCTGCTTTGGCAAAGAGCAGAAGGTGAAGTTTATTCGTAATACGAAGTAATCTACATTAGTGTTCAAGTAATTCCTACTAAATCCTTGAACGTACCTGACCATCTGGCCAAAGTTGAGTTGTTACATTACCTCGTTATACAAGTTTTACATGTGAAGTTAACCATATTTCAAAATTGGCTTTGCAAGTAATGGTGAGAAGACCACCATATGAGTCTCAATAATTGTGAAATTCGTCCAAGTCTCAAGAAACGAGATGCCTAATGCGAATGCAGATACCAATTGTCACTTGACTTCCTATGGTCTGCACAGTGAGTAAAATTTCCGCAGTGAGATCAAGAATTGCGTCTCTTCGATCGAAAGCTCATCAATCATGGGGGAAGAGATACACGTTAGACACTGATAAAGCCATGCAGCATGCTAAAATACATATGGCAATGATGCCAGAACGTCAAACTTAACATTTGGAGCTTAGAGATTTAGATGTTTGAATCGACAATCATAATTGGAGATAAGACAAAAAGATCAGACTCTCTGACAAGCTCAAAATGCACTGCACAAAACGAGCAGATATTACTGGAATAGAGCTCTTACCTAGCTTTTCCAAGTTGAGTAGTATAAGATGACGAGAAGAAGGATGCATGCATTTACAAGAACAACTGGACAAATGTATCTGGCGTAGCACTTGACCTCCGCCTTCACCCACTCCCAAAATTCAACCACTTCCAGAAAATCCTCGTCTTCTTCATCTTCTTCTTCATCATTATCCTTGTTCAGCCCTTGCTCCTCATCCAATTCCTTCTTTTCTAGAACGCGCTGCAGAGACTCGGAAAAGTGAACATGCTTCACTAAATGATGTTGCTCATGGTCTTCTCCACTATCCTCCACTTTGACATCGTTTGATTCTGGTCTTTCAACATCTGCTAGGACTTGAGGCTCCAGAAGGGGCTTCTGAACTTCATTTCCATCGTTTGATTCTGGACTTTCAACATCTGCCTCGACTTGAGGCTCCAGAAGGGGCTTCCGAACTTCATTTCCACCCTCTAAATCTACATTAGAAAAAGGCGAATCCCCCTTGAAAGGCATTCTGTAAGAGAAATTGACTTCAGCCTGTTCTTGACGTCTGTAGAACGGCAGATTGCTGCAAAATAACCATAGAAATTCTAACCATTCCTTTAATCCAGGGTGGATGAGTGCCAGACCAGATTACTTCTCCTCTCCCATTTTGAACTAACAAGAAGTCTGTGAACAGAAACCAAGAACTCCGAGTATGAACAGCTACGTTGCGTCACACTTCCCCTATAAATGCTCCACTTTTCTTAGAAACTGTACTTATTGCTACACAGTGCCCAAGAATGTAATACATCAAAATAATCTCAAAGCACGATAGCGTTTCAGTCTAGCTAAATTAATACAATAACAAACTTTCCACAATTCCCGAAGCCCTATTCGCAAGAGTGTCTGTCCACTATCTCTCGCTCTCCGTGGACTAGTTTTTTTTTACTGCGAGCAAGACTTTTATCGTCTATCGTCTCAAATCATTCTGTCATCCTCTGAGATTCACTCACCATAGCAACATCCACACGATTAAACCATCACAGCCACTCACACACGCAACCGACACCACCCGCTCAACAACCATGCAAAACCCGGCTTACTCACCGTTCTCCGCTGATCAAAAACTATAGCTCGTCACGATCATCACGAATCCACGGAAATCCCTCCCTAGTGACAAACCAAACCACACCAATCCGCTCCTGCTGCTCATCACACCCCACACTACCAAAGCGATGATGTTGCTCTCTTCTAAAGCCCTTCCACGAACTTCAATTCAACTCACCACACGCGGCACCTGCCACACGTTCCCGACTCCAGTACGGACTTGCCGCTACGCAAATTTCAACGGAGACGCTGACAAATGCAACAATTTGGGAGAGTCAGAGCGGTGCGGAAAGCAAACAGATAATAAGCAAAGGAAGTGTAATTCGGCATTGGTTTTGATGATTCTTGTTGATTCCGTCATGCTGTGGCTTTGAGGCAGCTGGCTTGGCCCGCGGCAGGACAGCTCTAGGTGCTCGGCGATGCAATGGAGCCCTCGCGCGCACGTTCCGGGTAGATAATATGGCCATGGCGCTCCATTGGCGATGGAGGCCGCGACGTTGCCCGCCTCCGTTGGCGCTTCATTTAGAAACCACGATGATTTTTGACACATTAATTTATTGCAATTTCTTTTTGCATGACATCAAATGCGGGGAAAAAGATCTCGGAATCATCGTAGTGGAGATTTCGTAGCATTAAGTGGAGTAGAATACTGTGTATTGTTTTTGAGTTGTATTATTTCAAAGTTTTTGCTCAGTTGGAGTTGTAAACTAGAAGTTTTAGGGCACCAAAATGTTGTTTTAGATTTTGGGTCTATGAGGAAGTTCTTGAAAATGCAGTAGAAGTGAGTAGTTTTGTTGGTATTTAGGTAGAGTTTGGATGACTATACGGTTCTTATTTTCTTCAAAGGAATTATGTATTAAAAAAGATGTGGCATCATGAGGTTTTAGACGGTTTTTTAAGATTGGTTTAATATATATATATATATATATATTTTTAAAGAATTAAATAGAGGTAAAATAAATAAATAAATAAATAAACAAAAAAAACAAACTAACAAACAAGAGAGGGACTCTAGCTAAACTTAAATAAGCATATTAAAGAAAGAATTTCTAAGATTGTATTAAGAGAATCCTACAAATTTGTTTCATAGTGGAATTGCAACACTTTTTTTTTTAATGTTACTTCAAAGTTCAATATATATATATATATATATATACATATATATTTAGTGTGAATCTTAAATGTGGTCACATGAAAAGAGATGTTTTTGTTTAAAGGCACCACTTGCAAGCAAAAGCATGACCAAGTAAATTCATGCATTCAAAGTTGGTTGAAAGCAAGTGTTGTGGGATGGTGTCATTACCACAAGAAACCACTAGTTTTTAAATTATGCCATGATAAGATCTTGAACATACAAGTGGTAAAATTGGCCTTTATACTTAAAATAGAAAAATATTTTTTTGTTGTGTATCATTAAATATAATCTAATGTAATAAGAAATGAGTTGGAAATAAACATTTATTTTACAAATTGTATATTTATGTTTCTCAATAATGATTGTTGTTAAAATTTTAAAAGTGTCATAATACAAAATTGTATTGTCTTATACATATTATAGATTGAAAGATTAAAAATAAATAAAAAATCATATCAATATATGTTATTTATTTCATAATTTATACTCAAATTAGCATTTTTTTAAAAATTAACAATAAATTTGGTTTAATAAAAAATATATAAATTATCAATTTCAAAATACATTCAGGTTTATATGTTGAAACTTATTAACCAAAATTTTGAAAAATAAAATAGTAAACTTTTAGGTGCATTTATTATTATAAAAATTGTGATTTAGATATTAGTCTCAAATTTAATCCATATTGCAGATTATTTATTTACTTACAATATTTCATTTTGAAAATCATAATAAAATCAAATTTGACCAAATCTTTTTTCTTTTACTAGTGTAATAAATCTTGAGATTAAATGTTGGTTTTGTGAACAAACAATGCACGTGAAAAACTAAATTTTACTTGTTTGATATTGTCGTTTTTTCAATTTCATGAAGTACTATTCCAAACTTTTAGAAAAACTAATTATATAAAAAGAGATTAACACTAATTTAAAAGAAAAAAATCAAGCTATAAATAAAGTTGATGCATCAATTCATTAGAAATCTTTGTTTTGTTCCAACCTATAATTTAATCAAACAAATGGAAATATAAAGGAATAACACAGATATTGAATATCTATACACAAGAACCTATATTGGAATAAAAAATTAATATATTAATTAATAAAGATAATGTGCTAAACCTCATTATGCTGGTTACACGAATATTTGGCTTAATCAAATTCATGAGAATAAAAGGTACATACACATATAATGCATTTTAATATAAGAATGTAGTCTCTGACAGATTTTATTTAAGTATTTATTTAGTTTCTTAATTTAGTAGGACAGTTTGGTTTAAATTTTGCCACCAATATTCCATGAATTTCATATGAGTAGATTTAATCATAAACATATGTAAGTTTTTTATTTTTTTAAAAATGAAATGTTTAGTATAAGTAAAACTGTTGAAAAATATTTAATTATTTTAAAATCCACACTTGATGTTGTGGACAAGATTTTGGCAGTTTTAATTGTTCTACTAGGGATCATGCTGTTTAATGAATTTGAAATATTTATTACTACTAGAAACTTATTTATTTCAATATGTATTTTTAATACTTTTTCAATTGAAACTAATAAAATTTAAGTAAATTTCAATATATAAATTATATTACTTTCTCATAAACATTTGTGTCACTGGTCATAATATATACTGATTATTGATGAAGACAATTATTCATCTTCTATTATACTTTTTACTGTTTAATTTACATTTTTTAATAATGCACTTAGGTCTTAAAAAAATAAAATAAAATAAAATAAAATATTTCTTAGTGCATATGCTTTTGATACTATTTATCTTGCAACAACTAATGATGAAGTGTAAACTTCTTGTACAAAACTTTGTATAATTCTTCTCACATTTCTTTAATATTTTAATAAAATGTTATTAAATGTAGTATTTTAAAATAAATGATTCTAAAAATATTACACTATCCCTACATTTTATAAATCAATCTTATTAACCATTTTTCTTTTTTATATAAGAGTGATTGAATTCGTTTACATAATAGGAACAACACATTCTAAAATTTTTGATTAACGTGGAATATTTTAGTGAACAGGAAGAAATTATTAAAAAACTAAGTTTGATGTGATAGGATGTTTTAAAATAATGCTTTCTCAAACCATTGTTTGACATTACTAAGTACTCACAATTGGTATGCGATGTGCTTAAATAAATTAATCCTCATTGAAATATATTTTCACCTAATTTTTTTGTTTGTGTCATTTTTTTAACATTTTAGAAATTAATTTATAATTTTCAAAAAAACCCATATTTTTCTTTTTTATTCAATTCTTTGTACTAATTTTTCAAAAATATTTAAGGATGTATACTATGCGTTTTTAGTATTTAAGATTTTTTTTTCTTAAATATCAATATTAAACCATTAAATTTTTTTAAGTGTTAATTTTTTAATATTTTATTTATTTAGCTATATTTAAAATACATTACATATCATTATTTTAATATATATAGTTTTTATAATCTGACAGTTTTGTACATACCATCTACAACATATATGTATATATATATGTACAATTCACATTTATTAGGGGAGTCAAATTTTTTTTAAAAGGTGGATGTCATGATATATGCCTTCCTGATTTTAGCACTGATTTTGAAGAATGTAAGCACTTATATCAAAATTATTATAACCATCTCTAAGAGGAGGTTCTATAGAACATCCACTTCTTATATCAAAAGTTATCTTGTTGTAGCATAGTGTCAAGGACAAGAACTCGATGAAAAAACAATTCAAACAAGTGAGCCTTCACTCAAAGAGATATAACAAAATATATATAAACAAGTATATATATTGAAAGAGAAACTGGAATGGCTATTGCCAAAAGACAAGAAAACTAGGGACCCTTGAAACTAGACTAGAAGCAAGAAAGGAGTTGACAAGAGTGAAGAAGCCTTCACTCTTATCTCTATATATACTCTCTAACTAGGGGCTATGTGGAGACGTTCTATAGGTCCTCCAATATGTGTTGACTTTGTAGGACACATGCCTTGACTTACAAGGTAAGTTCTTCTACGTGTGGGCCACATAGTTAGCTTAATCTTCAAGCTAACAACATGTGTAGCACATGGCCAACTTGTTGACCACGTTTCTAATCCAAAAATTCAATTAAAGACACCTATGAAGTCAAAGCATTGTCTATGAAGCTTCTAGGAAGCTTCTATATTAAATACTATAGAATTAATTTACTTTTACCTACTTTTACTTACTTCTATCTATTTGTATATGTAATTACTAACTTACATGATTATGTCCGTGACACATGATTATGTCCGTGACATTATTCCTCCTTCTAGAGACGAGTTCCACGAGGAGCGGTCATCATATGTTGGAGAAATCTATGATGCGAAGAATTGTATTCACCACATACTCTGATCTTTGTTCTCTTCAAAGATGATTGATAGGGCCTCTCTACCATCGGTAGTGTCCCATACCAGGGCGGGAAGACCACCCAGTTATTTGATCATTGTTGAGGCCTTCGTAACTTCCTTCGAATAGAATATTTGGAACACCATCAAGAGTTGTTCCTACCTCTAGCACAATCACCAAACATCGAGAGTCCCTTTCCAAATCGTGATACCAAACGCGTTGTATCTCGCCATCTATTCGAAGAAGAACATGTCGTTCTTGAAGATCTTCATCTCGATTGCGTCGTCTTGAAGGTTGTCACAATCATAATGTCTCGTCCGATAAGTCAGCAAATTAAGGCTCTTGAGTCGAATCTGCTAGCTGTTGGTTCTCCATCTCCTGAGCGTCACTACTACAAAGAAGCTACAAACAAGAATTGAAAGTAGAATGTTATCTTGCTTAGATGTTGTTTCTATTATAAAGAAGGTTTTCATCTTGATTTTGATGGATGTCGTCGATGAAAAGCCTCCACTGCCTTTATTGCATTTGCAAGATTTTTTATTGGCTCCCATGTGCGTTTACTAATAGCATATCCATGCCAATGGACAAGATATTCTAATTTATTTCGGCGCCGCCTTGAATCTAAGACTTCTTCTGCTTCAAACTCTTCATTATTGTCCACTTCTATAGGAGGAGGTGGAGCTTGTCGTCTTCTTGGTATGTCCACTGTCTTGTATGGTTCAAGAAGAGACACGTGGAATACTGGATGGATTTTCATTGATTCCGGTAGATGTAAACGATATGCAACTGAATTGATTTGTGCAGAAATAGAAAATGGTCCCAGCCTTCGATAGTCCAACTTGTCACAAGCACGAGTGGTCTTGATATTACGACGAAGTAGCCATACCTTATCACCCAAGATGAATGATGGTTGTTTCTTTCGATAGACATCCGCA